CAAAGTCCTCACCATGGTCCACAAGGCCCTGCTTAGTTTAGCCCCTGCCACGTCTGACTTCGTCTCCTCCTCCTCTTCATTCATTTCTCTCTAGTTACACTGGTCTCCTTGGTGTTGTTAAACATGCCACGCTGAGTCTACCCTCAGGATCTTTGCATTTCCTGTTCCCTTAGCTCCTCATCTTGCTTAGATAATCCCAGAATGCAAGTGTTTTCCACATCTCAGCATCTGGATTCATTTGTTAATGCTTCCCAAAAAGGGCAGAAAAAGAAAGGGATAGGCAGCAGGCCTCTAGTACACACGCAGACTTTCCCTGCTATGTGCAGAGAGGCAAGCCTGGCAGACAGGGCAAAGAGAGGCTGGGATAGGAAGGAGTTAGGGGCCAGCTCACTGTCTCAGCCCGGGGCTCGCTGTCTGCCCTTTCCCCGTTAGGGATGCATCCTTTCTGGATCATGGGGATAGCAAGCGTGGGGTCGACACCCGAATTCTCTCTCTCCTCCAGGGACTTCTTGGAGTCTAAGGAAGAATGGGAGGGTGCAATGAGGTCCCACTCTATCCTTCCATTTTCCTCCCCCTCTTCCTTCACTGGGGCAAAGTGAAGAGAGGATCACTCACCCTCAATGAGCTCCTTCACAGCCTGGGACAGCACCCCATCCACCAAGGCCTCAGTATTTGTGGATGGCCCAGGAGCATGGGTCGGTGGCTGCCTGCGACGGCCATTCTGGATCAAAGGGATGACGAGTTCCTTGGGAGTTTCTGAGGGCTTCACACTGATGTGGACACAGAGTCGTCAAGTTGGGAGAGTAGCATGGTTCAGTGGGTTCTGAGCCACACTCCTCCCTCCAGAGAAAACAAAAGAGCCAAACTCACCCCCCACCCCAGATGGACCACACCCTCTGCTCTCCTGTAAGGCCTCTAACGGTGCTTTCTTGGGATTCTCTCCCTCACCCCCAACTCTTAAATGTCAGTGCCTTTGAGGAATTAGCTTTCAGTCCTGGACCCTCCTCTGCTCATCCCAAGATTCACTTCCGTGACCTTCATGATGCCTTACAAATCACCGTCTTCAGCCCAGACTCTCCCCAGATCCAGGGTCCACGTCAATCTCCTAGATGGCTGATTTTCTTCTGGAAGCCTCTCCCTCTGACTCTCTTTTCTTTCTTTTTTTTTTTTAAAGATTTTATTTATTTATCTGACAGAGAGAGATCACAAGTACGAAGAGAGGCAGGCGGGGGTGGGGGGTGGGGGGAAGCAGGCTCCCCTTTGAGCATACAGCCCGATGTGGGGCTCGATCCCAGGACCCTGAGATCATGACCTGAGCTGAAGGCAGAGGCTTAACCCACTGAGCCACCCAGGCGCCCCTGACTCTCTTTTCTGAATTAAGCAGATGATGGCCTCTCCCAACCTGAATCTGCCCATTCCACCCCGTTCCCCATACTAGAGAAGCTTCACCGCTTCGGCTGGGACACTAGGGATCCTTTCGTTCTTCAGTCTTTTCCTTCTCTCAGAACGCACACACCTCAGGGTCCTCAAGTCCTAAAACACCCCCTCTCAGGAATACATCCTCTTTTCTCAAACGCCACGGCTCTCGGGCCCAATTCCCCCACCTCTCCTGTTCCATACTGCCTCCTTCTCGCCTCCACGAACTTTCCCCAAGCTGTGCTTCAGGCGTTCCAGACCACTGTCACCAACACAATCAACTTACATTCCACCCTCCCGCTTGCACCCACCGAACCGAACTCCAAGGGATGAAAGACCCGACGCTTCACCTTTGCAGCTCCCTCCCTTCCACGGTCTTTAAGAAATCCTTCTCTTCTGGAGCCGCACCCGCGTCGTCCGCCAGCCGTCTCCGGGCAGATGTGCGACTGAAACTGAATGAAATTGGGGCAGCGGAGGATCCCGACGGCCGCAAAGCGTCCTCTTCGGCATCCGCCATCTTGCCCCCCTTTCCCAGGCTAGTGCGCTGCTTGCTGGAAAGTTTAGTTTGCGCTCAGTTTGACTAGGGCCAGAGGACGAGCGCTAGAACTACCTTTCCCACATAACACTGCGGTATCAGCCGCGAAGTTGAAAAAGGGGCCTTAGAAAGTAATTGTCGCCCTTTTTACTTCATAGGAGCGCGTCGCGCCAAGCATAAAGGGAAATGTAGTTCTTGGGTGAGGTAGGTGGGGCAGAAGTAGATTCATTCTTGCCAGGTATTCCTTCCTATAGGAGATCAACAAGTATTTATTAATTACCTACAGTGTGCATGTTACTATGCCCTGGTGGTATGGGGAAATGTAGATAAAATACATCATTAAGAAAAAAAAATCTGTGAATGCCAGTTGTGTACAGTAACAAACAGACATTTAAATTGTGCCTACCAATGCCAGATTTAATACACAAGCTCTGGATTCAGATATTAGTAAAATAGACATCCTCCTTTCTAAATATTCCAGTGGGGAACAGTAACACTTAAACAGATACTTTACACACACACACACACACAGTTGACCCTTGAACAATGCAGGGGTTGGGGGGGGTCAATCCCCTGCCCCCCCCCCCCGGTGAAAATTTGAGTAACTTTTGACTCCCCCAAACTTAATTACTAACAACCTACTGTTAACTGGAAAGCTTAATGATAACATAAACAGTAGATTAACACATATTCCTCATCTTACATGTAGTATTTTGTGGGGGGGGGGTTGTTGTTGATGATTTGTTTTTAAGTAGGCTCCACGCTCAGCATGGAGCCCAACGGTAGGGCCTGAACTCACAACCCTGAGATCAAGACATGAGCTGAGGGCACCTGGGTGGCTCAGTTGGTTGAGCGTCTGCCCTCAGCTCAGGTCATGTTCTCAAGTTCTACATTGGGCTCACTGCTCAGCAGGGAGTCTGCATCTCCTCCCTTGCCCCCCCACCCTGTCATCCCTCTTTCTCTCTGTCTCTCAAATACATAGTCTTTTAAAATAAAGAAAATTAGGGGCGCCTGGGTGGCTCAGTTGGTTAAGCGTCTGCCTTCAGCTTGGGTCATGATCCCAGGGTCCTGGGATCAAGCTCTGCGTCGGGCTCCCTGCCCAGAGGGAAGCCTGCTTCTCCTTCCCCCACTTGCCCTGCTTGTGTTCCCTCTCTTGCTGTCTCTGTCAAGTAAATAAATAAAATCTAAAAAAAAAAAAAAAAAAGAAATGTGCTTTGGGTAAGTAGTGCTGGTCAGGCATAGATTACGAGATGATCAGGGGCCTAACATGACTTTTCTCGTGTCAAAAAAAGCTATGCCTTATCTTTCTTTTTCCAGGGATCCCTAACTACTTCTGCTTATGTTACCAACATTAAATATGTTGTGAGAGCGAGGTTCTAAGGCTTTGAAAGATTAATGGGACAGATTCCTCTTGTGTCAGACCATAAAGAGATATGGAAAATGAAAGGGCCCCATGAAAGGCTGTTTTTTGAACTGCTGTTTTACCCCTTTTCCTGCTTCTATTCTTGCTAGGATCAGCACACCTGCCTTACACATTCCTTGTAATACAAACAACGTCTGTTCTCACTTTGTAAGGATCGAGGAGTTAATGATTTCTTTGGAGTCTTCCAGCACAACAGATAACTTCTTTTTTAATATTATTTATTTTTTAAAGATTTTATTTATTTACTTGACAGAGAGAAAGAAAGTGAGAGAGGGAACACAAGCAGGGGGAGTGGGAGAGGGAGAAGCAGGCTTCCCGATGAGCAGGGAGCCCAATGCAGGGCTCAATCCCAGGACTCTGGGATCATGACGTGAGCTGAAGGCAGCCACTTAACAACTGAGCCACCCAGGCGCCCCACAATAGATAACTTCTAAGAAATGACTAGGTGAGGCCATTATGTGTATATTCTAGACCACCGAGCTAGAATCTTGATGCAGAGACTCCCTATTAGTGACTTATGGAGGACACCTGGACCCTTCTAGTTCTGACCAGTTTCCGTGTGTCTGAGGGGACACTTACATCAGACTACAATCCTCAATAAAAGCCCCAGACCCAAGCAAAAACAAGACACTCTCCTTCCCTTCTGAGTCTCCCAGACGCTCTGTATCTGCACTCTCTTTATATCTTCAATAAACTCTGCTCTTACATCCTCTTGGCTCACATTTGATTTCTATCCTGTGTGACACCAAGGACTCTCTTGGCTGGTCCTGCGGGAACCCCTCTGGGTCCTCAGACCCAGCCTGCATACATCATTAAGAGCTTGTAAATTAGGGGTGCCTGGGTGGCTCAGTCCTTAAGCGTCTGCCTTCGGTTCAGGTCATGATCCCAGGGTCCTGGGATTGAGCCCTGCATCGGGTTCCCTGCTCAGCTGGAAGCCTGCTTCTCCCTCTCCCACTCTTCCTGTTTGTGTTCCTCTCTCACTGTCTCTCTCTCTGTCAAATAAATAAAAATAAAATCTTTTTTAAAAAGAGCTTGTCCATAACCCTTCTCCTACCCCCTTAACCCCCCATGTTGCATCTCCTCTCCCTCATATCAGGGAGATCATGATAGATGTCTTTCTCCGATTGACTGATTTCGCTAAGCATGATACCCTCTAGTTCCATCCACGTTGTCGCAAATGGCAAGATTTCATTTCTTTTGATGGCTGCATAGTATTCCATTGTGTATATATACCACATCTTCTTTATCCATTCGTCTGTTGATGGACATCTAGGTTCTTTCCATAGTTTGGCTATTGTAGACATTGCTGCTATAAACATTCGGGTGCACGTGCCCCTTCGGATGGGTATGTGCTATGGTGAGTGCTGTGAAGTGTGTAAACCTGGCGATTCACAGACCTGTACCCCTGGGGATAAAAATATATTATATGTTTATAAAAAATAAAATTTAAATTAAAAAGAGCTTGTAAATTAGAAGACTGATACTTAAATAGTCACCAGAAAGAATACGAGGTATCTGCCAAAAATTCATCCCAAGGAAATCATTAAAGATGTGTGAAAAGATTTTTCTAAGTTTATTTAACAAATCTCTATACTCGGGACACCTGGCAGGCTCAGTTGGAAGAGCATGGGACTCTCCATCTCGGAGTGGTGAGTTCAAGCCCTACGTTGGGGGTAGAGATTACTTAAAAAAACTAAAATCTATATGGGTGCCTGAATGCTTCAGTTGGTTGAGCATCTGGCTCTTGATTTCGGCTTGGGTTGTGATCTCAGGGTTGTGAGAACGAGCTCTGGATGGGCTCTTCGCTCCAGTGCACAGCTGGCTTGGGATCCTTTCTCTCCCTCTCCCGTCAGCCCCTCCCCAGCTTGTGCAAACACACTCTAACTAACTAAATAAAGTCTTTTAAAAATATATAAAAATAGGGGCACCTGGGTGGCTCAGTGGTTAAAGCCTCTGCCTTCGGCTCGGGTCATGATCCCAGGGTCCGGGGATCAAGTCCCACATCGGGCTCTCTGTTCAGCAGGGAGCCTGCCTCCTCCTCTCTCTCTCTGCCTGCCTCTCTGCCTACTTGTGATCTGTCTGTCAAATATATATATATATATATATATAAATAGGGGCGCCTGGGTGGCTCAGTGGGTTAAAGCCTTTGCCTTCGGCTCAGGTCATGATCTCAGGGTCCTGGGATCGAGCCGCGCATCTGGCTCTCTGCTCAACAGGGAGCCTGCTTCCTCCTCTCTCTCTGCCTGCCTCTGTGCCTACTTGTGATCTCTGTCTGTCAAATAAATAAATAAAATCTTTAAAAAAAATAAAAATATATAAAAAATAAAATCTTAAAAAAAAATCTCTACACCCAATGTGGGGCTTGAACTCATCACCCTGAGTTCAGGAGTTGCATGCTCCTCTGAGCCAGACAGGTGCCCCATGAAAAGATTTTTTTTTAAAGATTTATTTATTTATTTTAGATAGGTGGGGGAGGGCAGAGGGCGAGGCAGAAAGAATCTCAAGAAGACTCCTCACCAATTGGGGAGCCTGACAAGTGGCTCAATCCCCTGACCCCCAGATCATGACCTGAGCTGAAATCAAGAGTTAGTCCCTTTACCTACTGAGCCACCCAGGTGCCCCCCAAAATATTTTAAAAATAGAAGTTCTAGTATTTTCTTTCCTTTTTTGGGTAAGATTTTTATTTGTCAGAAAGAGAGAGAGAGACAGCACGAGAAGGGGGAAGGGCAGGCAGCGGGAGAAGCAGCCTCCCTGCTGAGCAAGAGGGGCTCCTAGGATCATGACCTGAGCCAAAGGCAGTCACTTAACCAACTAAGCCACCCAGGTGTCCCCCCAAAAAGATTTTTTTTAAGATTTTATTTATTTATTTGACACAGAGAGAGAGATCACAAGTAGGCAGAGAGGCAGGTAGAGAGAGAGGGGGAAGCAGGCTCCCTGCTGAGCAGAGAGCCCGATGTGGGGCTCAATCCCAGGACCCTGAAATCATGACCTGAGCTGAAGGCAGAGGCTTAATCCACCGAGCCACCCAGGTGCCCCCAAAAAGATCTTTCTATGAGATTCATCATGGTATTATTTCTTGTAGCAAAACATTGAAAACCACTTAAATGAAGAACAGAAGGGGACAGGGTAAATGAATTACAGCACATTCCTTAGATGGAACACATATACTAGAATCTTTAAATGTAAAGCTGTAAATATGCTTAAATTAAAGTGGGACATAGTCACAATGTTTGGAAAGTAGAATAATATGGCGGGTCACAGGACAGTCTGGAAAACAGGAAGCACAATAATTAATCTCGTGGCCATATTGCCAGGCTTAGAAGCCCCGGGCATCCTTAAAGATACCTAGCAGATAAAGACTACAAAGCAGCTTTTATAAATGTCAATCTAAATAAAAAGGCAAACTGAGGCAAGCTCAAAAAGATTAGTTAATTTGGGAATATCAGAGATTGACACTGGACACCCGAACTGTAGCAAGCTACAGATGAGTCCCAAATTCCAATTCCTCTGCTATTCCTAAATAAACTCATCATTGTGAGCTTGCCTCAGTTTACCTCTTTATTTAGGTTGATATTCCTTGGAGTCAGAAGTGGGAGCCAAAAGAGATGACCCCCAAAGAATGATAATCCAGAGAATCAAGTGAGGTACCCACATGGAACCCCTTGCCCTAATCACTTATATGAGTTACAGTTTACTTCCAGGTTGGTGAGTCTCCTTTAAGATTCTGAACTCCCTCCCTTTGGTTGAGTTTTCTGACTTTATTCAGGATCTGTTTAAAGACTTCTTTTTCAATTGTTTATGTTGTTTTTTTGTTCTTCTTTTTTTTAAGATTTTTATTTATTTATTTGACAGGGACACAGCTTGAGAGGGAACACAAGCAGGAGAGTGAGGGGGAGAAGCAGGCTTCCTGCCAGCAGGGAGTCCGATGTGGGGCTCTGATCCCAGGACTCGGGATCATAACCCAGCCAAAAGAAGAAGCTCAATGACTAAGTCACCCACATGCCCCTAAAGGCTTTGTTTTTTTGGGTCAGTACTCATTTCTCTTAGTGAGTACTAGTTTGGTGAATACTCCTTTGTTTTATTATTGGAAGCACATCAGAATTTTGGTGTAATTCCTTTGGAATTCTTGGGAGTGTTAAAAAGAAAGCCATACGCCCAAGGTGGAGTCACTTGCCCTCAGGACAGCAAACTAAGAATTAATTGCAATTTCAACCTCTTCAGGAGTGGAATTTTAAGCCAATCAATCTGGAATTTTCTGGTCTGCACCAAAGAGGTCACCTCTCACATGGGGCCCTCTCATTCCCCAAAGCAAGATCAGGTAATCTGGATGGTAAGAACCCCCTTGTCCTACCTCTCCCCATAAGGGGAAGCGACCTTGCCTGAAACAGTACTTTCTTTACTGTTGCTAACAATTTCTTGCCCCATCTTCCTTCATATAAAAACCTTCCATTTTGGGGGTGCCTGGATGGCTCATTCGCTTAAGCACTGGACTTTCAATTTGGCTCAGGTCATAATCTCAGAGTCCTGAGATGGAGCCCTGCATCTGACTCCATGCCCAATGGAGTCTGCTGCGTTTTCTCCCTCTGCCCCTCCCCCTGCTCACATGTTCTTTCTCTCTCTCTCCCTAAAATGGATCAATAATCTTAAAAAAAAAAAACAACTTCCATTTTGTATACCTCCTCTCAGACCTCCTCTCTACTTGTTAGGTCAGATGCTCACCAATTTATGAGTTGCTTACTAAAACCAATTATGGGGCCCCTGGGTGGCTCAGTCCTTAAGTATCTGCCTTTTGTTCAGGTCATGATCCCAGGGTCCTGGACTGAGCCCCGCATCCGGTGCCCTGCCCAGCGGGAAGCCTGCTTCTCCCTACCCTGCTCCCCCTGTTTGTGTTCCCTCTCTCACTGTCTCTCTCTCTGTCAAATAAGTAACTAAAAAGTTTTTTAAAAAATTAAATCTTCACATTTAGTTGATTTTTTGCTCCTAAGTGGGTATTAGAACTAGTAAACAAGTTTGGCGAGGTTACAGAATCAATATACACAAAATTCCATTGTGTTTCTATAGATAAAATAAGGATGAAATTAATAAAATAATTCCATTTACAGTAGTCTTAAAATAATAAGATACCCAGGTATAGGTTTTTATTTTTTTTAAAGATTTTATTTATTTATTTGACAGATCACAATTAGGCAGAGAGGCAGGCAGAGAGAGGAAGGGAAGCAGGCTCCCCACTGAGCAGAGAGCCCAATGTGGGGAGAGCCTGATGTGGGGCTCGATCCGAGGACCCCAGGACCACAACCCAAGCTGAAGGCAGAGGCTTTAACCCACTGAGCCACCCAGGCACCCCATATTTTTTTTATATTTTTTTAAATTGTATTTATTTATTTGACTGAGAGAGAGATCACAAGTAGGCAGAGCAGCAGGCAGAGAGAGATGGGGGAGGCAGGCTCCCTGCTGAGCAGAGAGCCCGGATGCAGGGCTCCATCCCAGGACCCTGAAATCATGACCTGAGCAGAAGGCAGAGGCTTAACCCACTGAGCAAACCAGGCGCCCCAGAATAGATTATTTATTTATTTTAAAGATTTTATTTATTTATCTGACAGACAGAGATCACAAGTAGGGAGAGATGCAGGCACAGAGAGAGGAGGAAGCAGGCTCCCTGCGGAGCAGAGAGCCTGGATGCGGGATTGGATCCCAGGACCCCGGGATCATGACCTGAGCAGAAGGCAGAGGCTTTAACCCACTGAGCCACCCAGGCGCCCCCAGAATAGATTATTTAAAAAGAACTATGAAAACTGTACTGCAAAAACTACAAAACTTTATTGAAAAAACATAACAAAGACTTAAGTAAAGGAAGAGACACGCAATACTAAGGGCCTGTGCTGGATTCTCAACCTGGTCCTTGGTTACTCCCCTGCAGCTCCCATCGTCATCTACCATCCTCTCCCTCAACCTGTGCTACCAAGATTCATTAAGGAAGTCTCCAGCACCAGGGACTGTACAAGTACCCCAAAATTATCCACAGGTTTTTCCACATTTTTCTGTATTTGCCACACCAGGAATTCTGTATGAGAGACGAGAGGGACCTGAGACAAGTGCCTCTTCAACACGTAATCGTCCTGTTCATTTAGGAATCGCATGCTAAAGACTGCTGGAAGGAAGAGGCTAAGAAAGCTGTTGGTGACTTTACTAACCTAGGTGCAACCCTCTAAATTTACATTCTAGCCTCGGCTCTTCCGACTCACATCCAGCCTGGACCACAATTTAATTGCCTAGACAGTGCCCCAACAAGTAATTCTCCAAGCGTCACTCACATGAATAACTACCCAGATACCCCCGCTTCCTAACTACTCCTGGTCCCGGCTATTTGAAAACACCTCCACTGCTTCCTCCTTTCTCTCTGCCTGCCTCTCTCCCTACTTGTGATCTCTCTGTCAAATAAATAAATAAAATCTTTAAAAAAAAATAAAGAAAAAGGTAAAAAAGGGGCGCCTGGGTGGCTCAGTGGGTTAAGCCACTGCCTTCGGCTAAGGTCATGATCTCAGAGTCCTGGGATCGAGCCCCGCATCGGGCTCTCTGCTCGGCAGGGAGCCTGCTTCCTCCTTTCTCTCTGCCTGCCTCTCTCCCTACTTGTGATCTCTCTGTCAAATAAATAAATAAAATCTTTAAAAAAA